ACGTAGGCTGAATGTGAATCGCTCGATAGCCAAAATCCTGGCTGGCCCGACGAATCGTCCTTTCTTATCTCCTGGTTGCTGGCAGCCTTTCTGACTTGTCTGATGCCTCCAAAACAAAACCACTTCGCCAGGTTCCAGGTCCAAGGGAGGTGAACTTCGGGAATTTTGGGCACGCGCAATTCGCTGCCTAGCATTCCATTCCGCGCGCGCGGATTCAGCTACGGCTCTCCTCATGGCTGCGCCTGCGCGTTCGAACTCACCTCCGAGTCCTCCCGCATCTTTTGGGCAGGGGCTTGAACCATCGCATCCAACACGGGACCTGTCACGTCAATGCTATGTCCTACTGCATGCTGCGCAGGAGAAAAACCTCTCACAAGGTCACGGTGATTAAAGGTTCTGGTTGCCGTGGCAAGGGCTTCCACACATGAAATGTCAGGATCAGAGTCCATTAGTTTGGCCATTATCTCCTTTACCCTTTTTATGGCTTGTTCGCGTGCCCCGATCTTCCAGTGGGCTTCCCCCCTGGGGCCACATCAAGGACTATCCCACGCCTGTCACAGAACCCTTCCGCAGCCTGACTCCGAGAAGCACCTGCCGGGTCAAGCCTCAAAAAACTTGGTTTCCCGAAATATTGCATCCAACCCTCCTGAAGATACTCCAAACACGCAGCTGCACCAGGTTGTTGTTTGGAGCCCTGGGTCAAAATCCTAGCAATACGTAAACGGGATCCCTCATCAATGATCAGCATGAACTGGACATGTTCCTGCTTGCGAGCATGATACCAATGACCAATGTTCGCAGAAATGCTGGACCACTTTGGGGGCAGGGGTTGTATAAGGAAGCCATATGACGGTGACCCACACGTTGTCTTTTCTTGGCACGCTGAGCATTTAAACTCCCTCGCCAAGGACAGGACCCTAGCCCACTTCTTCGCGAGGCATCAATCATGTGACGAGTGCTCCCATGCCCTGTAGCCGCGTGTAACAGATACAACTGCCGCTTGATTCTTTCGTCCTCAGACTGAGGGAAGGCCAATCCAGAGGGCGGCTCCCAGCAGAGCGGCTCTGTTTGGCTGGCAAGAGGCCGAAGTTTGCTCAAGCGTGCAATGGAACAATCGCGCAGAGCATCAGACCGGAGGAGTTGATCGAGACATTGTCTGAACCCTCCTCTCGAGTGCCATGGACTTTGGGGCGTGTAGCCCAGGAGATTGGCGGAAGCCCATTTCAGGGCTTAACTTCGCAAGTGCCTACCCAGTCTGAATGGCAAAGAGCTCAGGGTGGTCAACTGGGTTTCCAAGAGGCAACTGCATGGTGGACCACAGTGTCTCCCCAATCCCGGGAAGAAGCCAAGACGGCCTTCTGGACGCAACAGGACGCAGCTGTCAGCGTGGAGGTGGACATGCCAACAGGACATCGTGGTTGGCAGGCTCTTCTGGAAAATAGCACAGCTTTCTTTGGAGCTGCAGTGAAGCGAAAGGCCGTAGAAGTAAGCGAGCGAAGACTCACAGAGGTAGAGCGTTAACAGTTCCGTGACGCCAAACAAGTAGAGGTGCGCAACTTCCTTGCGGCTCAGGCCTTCGAGGCTTTGCCTGACCATCTTCGTCCCAGCAAATGGAAGGCTCTTGACACAGGAGGTGTCAAAGCAAAAGCAAGAGCTGTCTTACTTGGCTTTCAGGATCCGAAGTACGCGCACAGAGCCACAACAGCGCCCGTGATGACCAGGCAGACACGCCAGACGCTCCTCCAGCACGCTGCGACCCAGGGATGGGACGCGCAGAAAGGCGATGTATCAAATGCCTTTTCACAAAGCCGAGAGTACCCGGGTGAGCTCTTCTGTGTGCCCTGTCCAGAAATCTGCGAGGCAATGGGGCTGCCACCCGACAGTGTTACTCGCCTCAAACGTGCGTGTTATAGTTTAGTGGATGCTCCTCTTGAATGGTACCGTACAGTCGATGGTTATCTCCAAGAATTAGGTCTCGAACACCTATGGGCAGACGCCTGCCCGTGGGCCTGGAGGCCTAACGGACAACTTCGAGGTGTCATTTCTGGACACGTGGATGACTTTCTATTCGCAGGAGATCGACAAGACCGAGAATGGCAAGACATCCTGGCCAAGATTCGTTCAAAGTTCAAGCGGAGTGCTTGGGAGGACAATCACTTCACCCAGTGCGGCGCGCAGGTGGGAAAAGTTGAGGGTGGTTTTGCGCTTAGCCAACCTAGGTACGTGGAAGGGATCAAGGAAATTCCTTTGAGCTCCACCCGGCGGAAAGAAACGACAGCCAGTGTCTGTGGTCTCGAAGGTCCCAGATGTCCCAGGATGTCTTGTGACGGACTCCAGGAACGTGTATGATAAATTGGAAACTGAGGTCTTGAGTATTAAGGGTGCTGAAAAACGATCGAACATCGAGCTCCTCAGTCTCAAGGAATCTCAAGCCAGTACTCATCTACAAGTTCGTTGGGTACATTCAGAGGCACAACTGGCGAATGCTCTTACAAAAGCAGGGGCGTGTCGTGAGCTGGAACTGTATTATCGTACGCATGGGACACACTTGGCGGATCGTGGAAGATCCCCAGATGCGTTCAGCTCGCCGCAGAAAGCAAGAGGGTCTTGAGCCACTAACTTCGGGAATGGAAAATTCCAATGTTGCGGGTATCATGTCCCCGGCAAAGAGGCGCACGCTAGTGATTCCAGGATCACTGCTCTGTTCCGACGCCAGAGGTGTCTCCGCAGTGTGATATTTGCATCCCAAGGAAAACAGAAGTTTCTAGCTCTGCGTGTGCCGAGCCATTGCATCCGCGCCTCCAGGGACAAGCTGCAGTCACTACTTGGGTATCCCAGCTACGCAGGTCTACCGCTTGCAGGGGTTACAGTTGGGGGTTTCGGCGTTCTGGGGGTTGTGTGTTTTAGGGTTTAAGGTTGCGGGGGTTTAGGGCTTTGAAATTCTAATCTTGCGTATTCGCGGTTAGTCGTCTGGGTTTGGTTCGATGTTTTAAGGGTTCAGGATTTGAAGGGATCAGGGTTGTCAGGCATGAAGGTTTTTAGCTTCAGAATTGTTAGGCTTCAGAGAAGATTTAAGGCTTTTTGAAGTTTAGGGTTTCTAGGGTTTGGGGAGTCTAGGGTTTAGGAAACTTGAGGTATTGGGTTTAGCCTTCAGGGATTTTAGGGTTTTGGGCTTGTCAGCTTTGCGCAAGCAATCTACAGACGATTCAAACGAGAAAGATGCGTGGATCCATAGCCAAAACATGGGATATACAAATTACCAGGCAGGCTGGCTTTCAAGCGCGGCGGCAGGACCCACCAACTCTACTGAGGGGTTCAAGGTCTTTTCTGCTAAAGGCTTTTCACGTATAGGATTGTTAGGATACGGGGATTTGAGGGTTCGGGCATTTCAGGGCGTAGCGGTTTTAAGGTTAAGGTTTTTGGGTTTTTACGGCTGTTAGGGTGCAGGTTTTTTTGGATTTGAAGCTTCTTTTTGATTTATAAGGTTTTTAGGGTTCGGTTCAAGTCTGCGTAGGATTCAGGACTTCTGTTCGAAATCACGGCTTTTGGGCACGCCTCTGCTATAGACATAGACCTTCAGCAAGATACTTGGGCCGATGATGTGATTCAC